TAAAATATTCAGGGGGGACCCTCTAGACAGGGGACCCTCCAGATGTTTCCCCCATTGACTGATGTCAAAATACATGTGTACTGAGAACTATAAGATAAGTAGTCCCTTATCCTAAAAGTAAATCATAAATATTAAAAATCAACAAGTGAGCTAAATTAACACTAGAACAAATTCTATTATCAACATGTACTGTGCAAACAGGCCAACAAAAAATTTCTACAGCACAAACACAACCATCACATATCACCTACAAAATTAATTCTTTACAGCAGAATTAGAGTAAAAAGTAAAGACTGACTCTTCAGCAGAAATAACAATTGAAATGTAATTATTTTTTAAATGAAGGATTTTCTTTACTTACACAGAGCATGAAGCCATAGTATCACAATTAAAATTACACTCAATAGTTATAACAATTAAGGGATTATTTACAGGTTTATATTTTAAAAAGAAACTTTAGAACATGATGCACTTCTGAACAGTGTTTTCAATTCCTCTAACCCTTCAAAAATTCTGACAACCATAAAACTACAGTAATAAGTAATAAAAAGGTAAAAAGAAACAAATTGCTGTCCAGATATTTTGAAGTCACTGGAATAAAATTTTCAATGGTAAGCTGAATACGAAAATATGTGATATTCTTTTAATCCCGGCAAACATCACAAGAATTTCAATACATTTTGTCATGGCATATACATAAAAGTCAAACCCCATTTATAGAACACCATCAATACAAAACTACTTTCCCCTTAATTTCATGCACTATAACTTTGAGTTATTAGAAAGAGATGGAAAACAATTTCCAGTACCTTGGACTAGATCACACGTTTCATAAAGCAACCATGTAGCAGCACTGGGAAATGAAAATCAATAACACCCGAAGGAATATACTATGAACAAAAACTACTCCACATCTATAAAAGTACAGTAAAGTAACAATACTTTCAAAAAAAAAATTCTTTGGCTTTGTTCCCATTGAAGTAATCACATTCTACCCTATCAGTCCACTTCAACACTGATATCATTTACATGGAAATTGTTGCCTCTCATAATTAACACACTCACAGTAGCAAAGAAAACATGTATCATATCCTGACACCAACTTATTTTGGCTGCTGAACATTATTCAATTTTAAAATGTTTGGAAGACCAAGTAAAAATGGCAATTGATATTCTTTGGAATAGCTTAGCAGTGACATAAAATGGGACGTTCACAATCTTATTGGCCACCATGAGTGTGCTGATGAAAAGTTATAATAAATAACCGTAGAATAATAATAAATACAAATATATCAAGTTGCTGTGATGACAGTATTCCTCAGTGAAGAGGAGCCTTGACAATGTGGTTAGGAGCAATGTAGTGATAGCCCGCCATAGGTATACCTGCAGTCTCCATTGATATCCTGTAAATAAAAGAAAGAGAAAGAAAATGTAATTTTTGAGCTCAAGCGTCCATATGTTTTCACAGTTATCATTAGGTGGGAAAGGATTTGTGGATTACACTTTAAGTGCACCTTGGCATTACCTCTAATGAAGAACACTGGGGAAAATTGGAGAGAGGCTCAGGATTTGAAGAAGGAATAGGAGATGGACAAGTCACCACATGAGTCGAGTTGCCAAGACACAGGAAAACAACACAGGAATTAAAAAGGTAAAAGCAACATGGGTGAAACCAAACATCAATGGTCAAAGCTAAATGGATGAAATGATGAAAAAATTTACAGTAAGACAAAATTCAAAGTGTTTTTCCATAGCCTGTTTAAAATGAAGGTGTGGTGCAGCGAATCAGATAGTGATGAAAGTTGCACATAGTTTTTTTTTTTTAATCTGTTCAATCTGATATATGTATTCTGTGCTGAGGGGAAAATGTAAAGCAAACAGCATATAAAACAAGTACAGATTAGGTGAAGTGCACACATCCTTAAACACAAGTGCAAACCATGCATTACATGCATTGTAGGATTTCCTCATTCCCTTTTCTGACATTAGTCTCTGTAAACATTCCTAGGTTTGACCACAAACATTTTATTATTGATTTAATGAATTTCACACACCAACAGTCTATTAAAAATATTGACTAAAGAAAGAAATTTCCCATTCAATGCAATCAATCACTTACCGCACTTGCTTCATCTTTAAATGGAACACTGATACCAGCATAATACACATGATCATCTAAACCGAGTTAGACGACAAAACAAGTAGAATCCGAAATCAATGCGTTAAGACGCAGCATGAGGACAAATGTGGAAGGTTCAGAAAGAATATTTCTTGAATAAGAATCTACATAACTACAACACCTATAAGTTCTGGGGCCATGGACTCTTTGTAACTACAAGGGAAACACAAATAAGCGAAAGAAATTGGCACATTGAGTTTTCTGGCAGTTTTTATTAGCCACTCATAAAGTATGCAAGCACATGCAACATACGAACATAATCTTCGGCTAAACCGGACAACTGTTTAAAGATATGTGAATATGTGATTGTATACACAATTGGTCAAATGTGAATCAAGAATTAACAAATATGTTGACTAATGATAAATTTTAATAACATAGAAAGAAAAAAATACAATAATTAAGTGAGCCTGCTTTGAATGTTGCAAGGCTCACAGTCTAGCAAAAGTCTACATTATGGGCAAGGTCATTCCACCCACAACTACAAAAACAGATTGAAGATCAATCCCTAGAAAAGTCAGTTGTACTGAAATAACCCAGATTCTTGGCAAATGTTTCATCCCATTTAAATTGAAAGATTGGAAACAATGCTTACTTCAAAACAATCAGTTAATACAAAAATACTGCGATGTATTCATCACTTCCCCAAATCAACAAACATATACACAATTACATTTCAGTAATTTCAACTTCAGAAAGCCCACTTACTTTTCATAACATAAACATAGAAAAGTTTTGTTGATATGTCCAAATCAACACATTGCACAAAACCATCTCCAAAATAAAAATTTCGTGAAAGAAAAATGCCATGTAGAAAGAGAAAATACTATGCAAATGAAAAAAATCCAGCCACAATAAGAAAATGGCCTTAAAAAGGTACAAGGAATATTTTCTTTGGGGAGAGGTAAGTGTGAAACTTAAGAGATAGGAACAAAAAATGAAACACATAGAAAAAAATGGTAGTGCTCAGCACAGCTCAAAAAATTTAGAAACTTCTAGCGTAATAAATTTATAAATGGATATGTCCCTTATTCAAGAATGATTTGTCCTGTAGTTTTGCTTGCAAAAGAGTTATGAAAAGTCAAACAAAGCAATAAAGAGAGCACACACATTAACAAAAATCTGCCAGGCTGTGGATCACAGTAAACAAGAGAAATTGATTTATGCTTACATGACAACAATAAAGTTCCTGATAGGTTGATCAGATCAAGAAAAAGAACATAAAGTGAGTGGAATATCAGATCAGGTATAGCTAGTGCAACGATGAGTGAAGAAAATCACAATACTCCTGGTAAAATGAACAGTTAAGATATTAAATGAACTAAGTTGCAATTTTGGAAACCTTAGCACCTCACCCAACATCAATTTACGAAAGAACTTCATGCCATACTTTGTTAGATGTGTGAAGCTTGAACATCGAAAGTCAAAAGTTGCTCCTCAATAATTTGAAAAAGACAAAAAAAATCACAGCTAGGATCTAGACGATCATATCTGACAATTATTATGATGCCACTTAATTTAAGATCTACTGGTTCCAAGGGATAATGTGTATATATGTAGTGGTAGCTTTAATAAAGAGTACAGAGCTTTGGGCACTAGTTATCTAAATTTCACTCTTGACTTATCAATTTATGATAAGCTTAATAGAAAATAAAAAAAGAAGCCTAAGAAATTACATTAATTTCTACTTACAGAGGCATAGCCCTAGACTGACCTGCAAAATGAATTGCTTCCTTATGACATTAAACTGGCATCAATTCTAAGTTTGTGTGCTCACAGTGGTCTTTGATAATGACTCCATTCTCTTATAATTCCAGTTTGTACCAAAAAGGTCATAAAAAGTGAATGCCTTGATAGGCAATAAACAATACATAGGTAAAAATAAGACACACAGCAAATCACAGACACATTCTCATTAGAATGTACTTTTAACTCAAGCTTCTCTGACAGCAGGTTTAAAGATATGAGCCAAAACAAATGTATTTGAAAATAAATACCTACTTGTAAAGCAGAGAATTTACAATCCAATACTAGCATTATGACTGTCAGAAAAACAAAATTGTTGCAAGAGAATAAAACAAACAACGAAAAACCTCACTAAGGGTATTTCTTGTTGTATATATTGGGTCTGACAGGTTTGATAACCTTTATCACTGTTATTGCTAACTTTCTTTCTTCAGATAGAATATGTAATCAAAAAGAGACAAATCATACAAAACTAGGTCCTTGAATTCAGGTATCAGTCCCACACACCCAATGAGAGGGTACAACACTGGGACATTTCCTTATACAGCAACAAGTGCTTCACACAGTGCCTGAAAACACTCACAAACCTCAACTTACATCATACAGCTGAACTTAATATGGAGCAAATTTACTACGCTCACTTCTGCCTTTGTTTTCACTTCCTGTACCACCTGGAGAGCGCATGCGTGGTTGGTAGGTCTTGTTATGTTGTCGGTGAACACCAGTAGTCTGCACTGGAGAGGACCCACTGAGCCCACCAAGGAGTTCACTCAGGCCTCCAAGAGCACTGAGACTAGACAGGGCGTTGAGAGCCCCAGGTTTGGCCAGCAGCTGTGCCAGGGGAATTGCAGAGGCGAGGGGAGAGTTGGAGTTGGCAGGGCCACTGGAGTTGGAGCCAGGGTTGTTGTTCCCAGGGGTGGAGGAGTTTTGGGCCTCAAGGTTTGCTTTCTGCAGCTCCACACTGAAGGAACACACACAAAAAGAAAAAAAAAGAATGGCAGTGGGTTTTTTGGAACAGGATAAACACAAAATAAGAGGTGAAAAAAGTGGAGCTAGGATGGAAAACAGGGCACTAATAGCCAAACCAGGAAAAAGAGATCAACAAATTAGACTTTATGGAGGAATACCATTTATGGCACAGATTATCTAAATAAAAGATTCCCACAATAAGCCAGGAATAGTAGGAAATGATTGTCATGGAAACTTGCCTTGACTTTGCTTCACAAAATGGAGAGAAACTTATCCAAATTTAATGATGCTGAACTCTCATTTGACAGAAACTAATTCTTTCATAGATTGGCTATTAGCACAGCTGGCATTTATCACTCCATGAGGCATAAGGCATGTAAAATTTGATAAAGTTATTGAAGTAAAAGAAAATTTTACTGTTTGTTCCGACTATGCAGAGAACATTACCAAGCAAGATTTTTTTAGAGCTTAAGATTAAATGGTAATAGGTTTCCCTCACATTTAAACTCTTTAAGCCATATTTTAAACAGAGCTATAAGTAATATGCCTTGATGGAGAAGAAACACTTTCAAAATAAACGAAATCATAAAACAGAGAGATAATGGATTAGGATAAGGAGATGGAGATACTGGAAAATCTGGGGAATAGGTGCATCTGGAACAAGAGGATTGAAACATAGAATAATAGGATACTGCGTCAAAGAGGATGTGGAGCCGGGACCAGGATGCCCACTGCACAAGGAGCCGATCACCACCATACCATTTTCCCTCAAATCAGCAATATTGCTTTAGAAACATCAAAGAAATCATTTTTACATTTTACATGTAATCAAAACTTCTATTCTTAGATACTGTTTTGAATTTTTTATAATAAGGCAGTAGGAGGGAAAGAGGCAGGTGGTGAAAGGTCAGGAATGGAGAAACAGGACCTGGAAACATAGCTTGCTGATGCACTGCTGCTCTCATTCAGCCAGGTCCTCTTCTTTTGTGGGACTTTCAACTTCTTTCTTCTTCCTCCTGATTCAATATGTGTACCAACTCATGCATCAATTATAAGGGATTTGTGATTAAGATCTAGACTGTGCACAATAATACGGTTTGTTGCCTTCAATGTGAACATCACATCTCAGGCAACCTAATGTTCCTCACAAATTTTAAAAAAAAAAGAAAAAAAAAGGCACAATTGATACATGAGCTGGCAGTAAATTACAAAACACAACTTACTGCAATCAAAATTCAATGTTTAAACACATAGGAAAAAGATCATAGAGCCAATACTTTAGCAAATAAAGAACTAATTAAGTCTCAAAGCCACCAAGTGCATCTTATTAAAGCTTGCAAGAGTCTAAAAAGAGACTCACTCATGCTCTTTTTCTTTAAAAAAAAATGGTTTTTCTTTTAGAGAAATTCCATTGAGATAAGTTATCAGGTATGATCAGGTATGAATGGAATCGTCCACGGATTTATTTAGCTAGCACATTAATAAAGTGAAAAGGGAAAATGAAAAGATTTTGGCCACTTGGACAATACCAGCTTTCGAAGTTAACAAAGATATGGATAGAAAGGATTTACAAGCTTTCAATTCCGAGAGGCTAAGAATTTTGCTAAATTAGTCCTAGTTCAGTAATAAAGTGCAGCTAGACTTCAGCTGTACATTAGCTAAATAAAATTATAAGAATCTAATTTTAGAACATTATTCCAATAACATGCTGTGATTGCAGCTAGAGTGTGAAGATAAGTTTACAAATAATGCATTGTGTGGAATGGCAATTAAAATGACTAGAGAAAATATCACAGGCAAAAAAAAAATAGAGAGAATAAAGTACAGTAAGTTACATACATAATGACTATCCCTTTAAAGGCATGTTTTACATAATTTTGCCAATATTTTGCATCAAATTGGCTAGAATCTTTTATTTGAGGAAATAGAAAAAAAAATTGATGTAGTTGAATATTTAAAACTCACTCGCTACAACAAATGTTTCTTTTTGTTATTACAACAATCTTGCATAGGTAAGTCATTAGTTCCAAGAACCAGAAAATGTATTCATGCTTTTAGAGAGAAATTTGGATTGAGTATGATTTAAAAAAGGCCTGAGTAAGATTGAAAACAGCTCATAAAATAATAATAATAAAAATAAGGAGTACAAATAAAACCTGAAGTAAAAACTTAACCAAAAACTTTGAAAACCTTAATGAAAAACAACAAAATAACAGCAAAATAAATAGCAACATTTTTTAAAAGCAAAAACAAGAAAGAAAAGAAAGAAAACAGGTCGTAAATTCACATGATTAGGAGCCATGGACAACTGAAGCAAGCACACATGCTCCAAAGCCAAAGTGGAGTCTGCAATGATGTCATCCATGCCTAAGGAGAGTTAAGTCAAATGCAGGAAAAAGAGAAAATGTCAAGTAAAGGAGGTTGAGTTCGCTCACACCACACCTGCTTGGAAGTACAGCAATGTACAAAATATGAACCTTTCTAGCAATTTTCCACCCTGTTCCAATCCTTGACGATACTATATGATATATAACAGTTTGGATTGGCTTAATCTTAGCTACTGGGAAAGAGAAAAAAAAGTGGGTCAATCCAATATTTCTGAAGACTTACCTCATATTTATGAGGTACTGGGCCAAAGCAACTGCATCAGGGTTTCCAGTAATGGTTATTGTTCTGTCTGTAGCACCTCCTTCTCGTTCTTCACAATTGCTGATACGGATCATAGCCCCACTAATTTGCCTTGAGAATTAAAAAAAGACAAAAAGACGGGTGGTGTTAAATTTGGTAACATGGAAAATCATCTTTACAAGGTCTAATATCCTTTCAAATTTACCTGATCTCAGCAATCTTTGTGCCACCTTTGCCTATAATGCAACCAATAAGTTCATTTGGAACAGTCATTTCATGCGTCTGTGTTCCAGTTTGTGGTGGTGCACCATTGCCTGCCTGAGCTGGCGGATTTGCTCCTCCCTGTTGTCGGGTTGGATGGTTTGAGCGAAGCTGACTGCCAGCCAATGCAGCCAGTGCCGCTAAAATTAGAGAGAAGAAAGAAACACTTGTAAATCTGTCCAATAAATAACAATAAGGGGAAAATTAGAGAGGATTTAGCAAGGTATTTAAACCTCACCAGCAGGATTGATACCTCCAGGTGCTGCCGGGTTGAGTCCTCCAAGTCCAAGAGCAGCTAATCCGGCCAATGGGCTGCTACCCATCTTCCCCATCTGTAAACAAGAAAAAGAATCTTCTGTGCAAAATTGCTTTTTTCCAACACTACCCAGCCACTATGGTTCTTTCATTTTTCCCTACATGCAGCATAATAATGTCAAAAAATGTTTCAACATCTGTTTGGTTTTATTGCATGTAATATAGTTTTAAATTGAAACGCTATAATGGGTAAGAAAGTGCTTTTATACTTCTGTAAGAGCTATAACTAGTACAACTAGTTCTATAGAATACAGAAAAAAATAACTAATCCCCCAAATTTAATGCAGCATTGAGGGTTATATTGACCTATTAAGCCAATTTGTATATTTCATTTTGTTCCAAAATACTGCTCTTGAAAGTTACAGTAATTGTGATTTGAGTACAGTAACTGACATATACATGCATCGCATGACTACAAAGAACATATGTCGTCCCAAGAGATCACACTTATCATCCTCCAAAATCCTACATCAAATATGTAAGATAGACAAAAATACAAACCAATTGCAGCTTCTGGCAGCACTGAACAATATTTCACCATGACCAAGATACATGACCATGCAAAACTTAAATGGTCGTTGGAAGTTTACATTGATAGGTACAGACGCTGACCACATCATCAGACCTTTCATTCAGTGTAAGTTCTCAAGAAGGTGCATTTGGTTTGGTTATTTCAGAAATAAAGAGATGGAAAAATTCTAAGTGTCCACATAGCAGCACAGCCTCAAAAACTAAGTATAAACTGATATTTTAAGACCCAAAATGCATCTGGCGATATCTACTAGCAACAAATTACAGGGATAAAGGACAATAAATAGCATCCATACCCACATATATCAAAAAACGTACAAACCAATGCATAGGGGAACGTATAAAACAGGAAACTGCAAGATGCCACATGTAGGTTTTCAGAACTACAAAATAATAAGGTATCCCCAAACATGCACGCAATATTTCAAACAGCCACCATGAGTTATAGTAGTTCATAATCACTTGACTGATTTTTTAAAAATCAGAAGCACCCATTTGTGCAACTTACCACAAACCCTTTCTCAGGGTAAAGCAAAACAAGGATCATGGCTTGGTATCTTCAGATAAGAGAGAGAGAGAGAGAGAGAGGATTGCACTGTGATAATGTTGACATTTGACTGACAAGGTAACTCCATAAGTATTATATTATAACATAACTAGCTACACTAGATAAATATGAATAGCAATATAGAGAGCTAGTTGAAATTTTTCAGTATGAATGTCAAGTCAATTGTCAAACTCATACCACTGATCTTAGGACTAGGATAAAGAGGTAACATTGCAAAAGTCCACAAGAGCATACTATTAGTTTAGACAAAGGTAATACAAAACAATTATGAAAGAAGGTAAAAAACGGGCAAAAGTGCTACGAAAAGAGTGGACTATCACAAGGTTCCAATAAAGAGCTTATAACTAAAAATAGCCCGGCTGGCCTCATTTGGAACTCTTTTGCCCTCCACCCCCCCATCAAAGGGAAATTACCATTATCATGCTTTCAAAATTGTAATTCAAAAACAGGATAAAAATGATTGTGTGGGTAGCATGTTACACATTACGTATAAACTTCAAGCAGCTGAGCATATACTCAAATACTACCCCCACGTCCTTTTAAAGAGGGCATTGCTCACTGCTAGAACACAACACTTAATGACACATGTTGTCTTTTTTGTCACAAATGTCAAAAATGTGACGATGTTATGAAATTATTTTTCTTCCAGTCAAGAAATATTTCTAAAGGGTTCCAAAATAGGAAACAGGATTTTGGCATAAGGGCAAGGCAGATTGGTCGGACAGGGGGCGGGGCAGGGCAGGGCGGGGCAGGGCAGGGTGGGGGGGCAGGGCAGGGTGGGGCAGGGTGGGGCTGTGAATGGTGTAGGTCTGTATAATGTGGAGAGGCGTGATGGATTGGATATGGAAGACTTGAAAATGGCACTTAGGGATGACAGCAGAGGCATATGGTCTAAGGAAAAATGATCAGCTTTGGAAAGGTTGGCAGGAGGGTGCTGTTAGGTAGGCAGGAAGAGTCCATGGTGAAGGTCAGCTCATCTGGCATAGAAAGAGCCGACAACAGGACCAGGAGAGCACTTCCAGGGTGAATGGGCACCAAGCCATGAGAATACATATTAAAAACTGTGATTTGTTCTGTCCCAGATTATTGTTGATAAAAAGCTCAACACAGAAGTTAAAACCTCATCGGAAATTATGCATGAAATTTTGCTAGTAACCTGTGGCTTTAGTTTCCAGATAGAGAATCAATCGAAAGAAAACTGAAAAAAGAGATAATCAATTTCAAATAGGAAAATAAGTAAATGAGCATATAAAACTTGATAACAATGCACACAAAAAACTCAACGTGAGATTGCAGAAAGCATGCTCTACAAAGAAAGTGTAATATTGAAATAGTTCAGTTCTTCATTTTAAGTTTCCATTGTTCTTTTTGTCTTTTTGTAAAATTAGAGTTTCATTGTTTGAGAATACGCACAAATAAATCTAAACAGGAGCTGAAATAAAAATGGCTCCGTAATCAATGTCAAACATGTGCAGAAGCACGAGACAGAACAAGAGAGTTAAAGATGCTTCTAAGTAACAACAATGTCCATAAGCCAAGGACAAAGACTTGACTTAGCTCAACAAGACGCTGTAAACATAGATCTTTAGAAGCAGCTATAATTTTAGGCCACAACTTTATTACATGATGTTTTCAAAAAAAGTAAGTTATAACTTCCAATCCCTCCAAATATATGGTATTAGTAAGTGATTATTGTTAGTATTGTGAAGATAACTAATTGCTAAAAGTGCTGAGTTGAGAATACATTTCTCAGTTCACATTCTGACCACTGGGCAAAAAATAGGTGTAGCAGATTTAATTTTACTCTACAACTCTTAAAAACAACTTCAACCTGCCATCCAGCTTGCTACAAGCTTGCTAATTGTACTCTCCTTTACACCCTTGTTTTCTAAAAAAACTCAACAAGGAGGATTTCCATGAACACAGGAATGTGACATTCCTCCCGTTCGAAAGGTTTAACCAAGAGTTGTTCTTTTCTTTGATTTCATTATCAAAAATATAATTTTGTAATATAAAAACATGAACCAGCACTGTGGGGCAGTTATGCAAGCAATTTTTAGCATGAAACCAAGGTTCACAAAATAAATAGAAATGCAGCATTCTGGGCTTGAAGATGACTTAGAAGTGCACAGCTTTTTTGTGTTTTTTTTTCCCAGTTTCCTTTGATTCAGCTATAATTTTAATTGCTTTTCACAAATATCTCATGAGCCCAATGCATGCACACATGACTACATACTTCCCAGATTTAAAACATTGTATGGCAGGCAAAGATTTCAGTAATTGTAAGGATCCCACAGAAGGTAAGTTAAGATAATGGTACAAAGGTCTGCATGTTTGTTTAAGTCTTAACACCAAATGCAAGATCTATCACATCTACAAAAGCAGACAGGAAAATGTTTCAGCATTCTGGGAATCTACAACATTTCCCACAGCAAAAATTACCATGAGGCAGTCAAAACAGAGCATATGGGATCTTAGACAGTCCCCATTATTGACAAATGAAAAATATGACACGAACGTGGCACTGCCAGTTCACCGTCAGCATGGAAAAATAACTTTAAAAACAATATCTCACTCCATTGGCTATATGTGCCAACATTATTTAAAGACTGGAACTCACGGCAATTTGTGCCGGGGACAATAAAGTCATAAAGGGGTAGGATAGGGAGAGGAGAGGGGGGACAGAACAACTATTACTCCAAAGTGCACTGCAGAGGTCATACGGGGTGGGGGGAGGCGGTCGGGGGGGGTGTGGCCATAGGGGTGTCGTCACTTACGTCACACGCTGCTGCTAGATGGGCGGGTGGAAGGGCGGCGGCCAAGTGTCCGTTCTTCAGTAGAGGGTCCATCAGCCCTGAGTGGGGGTGGGGGAGCAATTGGGGGGGCATGGGGGCGGGGGCGAAGAGACCCAAAGGAGGCGCGGCCGGGTGTTGGTACAAGGTGCTGCTGCTACTTACGTCGCCGTGTGTGGGGACCGCATAGTTACCCTGGATGGTATAGGCCTGTCCACCGGCCAGGATGACCGGCCCGGCCACTTGCGGCTTGGGGCGGTAGGGGATCGTGGCGCCTTTCGGAGGGGACTGCAGGGGAAAAAATGGCAATAGTGAAAATGCAAATCAATTAGATGAAAAAGATCATTGTGAACGGTCAACACGTCTTGAGGAGGAAAAAAAAAAGAAATGTATTTCATCGGTTTAAAACAGTATGTCTGGGGCGTGGTGTGGGACTGAAAGGACGCACCTCTAACATCACCATGCATATGTGGTAGATGCACTGGGTGACGGCGTCCCCGGTGCCGGTGATGGTCACGGCCCGCTCCGTGGAGTTGGGCAGCATGTCGGAGGCCACCTGGATGGAGGCGCCCGTCACCTCGCGGATCTCCTTGATCTTGGAGCCGCCCTTGCCGATGAGGGAGCCGCACTGGGAGGCGGGCACGATGAGCCGCAGGGTGATGGGGGCCCGGGGGGTGGCGGGGGCGCCGCCGTTGGGGCTCTGCATCTCGTGGAACTGAAAGCAGGGCATTGGACTTAGACATATACTCGCGAAATGTTTTCAAGATTTTTAAAAATGATTGATCATTGAGAGATCTCTGAATTTTAATCCTAGAGAGTTTTTCAATTTTTCTGGAGACATTTCCCTTTTGCTTTTTTGGAAAAGTTAGGGATTTTTCCAGATAAATTTCGGATTTTAAAATCTAGGCAGGTTACAAAGGCGGCGAAACAAAATTGACGATTTATCCTCTTTCAACGTTGTTTATTTGACATGACATTTCGGCCTTGCAAGCCTGCTGCAGGGGTCAGCAGGTCACAGCGCACGCGGACTCACCTCCTCCATCTTCTTACTGATGAGGGTGAAGGCTTTGAAGATAGCTTTGGTGGCTCCGGTGACGGTCACGATGCGCTCGGGGCATGATCCGTCCGAGATGTTGATCTTGGCGCCAGACTGAGAGAGACAGGACCGACAAAAATTAAATAAACTCGGGCACGGACAATACACGTCACCATCGTCGACGACTGCACGAGACTCACCTCTTCTCTGAATCTTTTCACAATCTCCCCCTTTTTGCCAATGATGCTGCCAACTTCCTGCAACAGAGAAACAACGACACAAACACGTTAGTGACGGAGACACTAGTTAGTTAAGCTCTCTCGGGAGTTTAGTATAGAAGGGGGAGGGGCGCAGCCCAAATACGCCTGGGAAGTGCCGGAAATGTCGGTACGCACTCAAAAAAAAATAAATGATAATTGTTCCAACGACTGCCTTGTTTTTGTAGCCGGGTTGTTGGTCCAATAACACTTTGTGACAGCTGTTGGTTGTGCCACCAACGCAAAAATTTTCAAGATTTTTAATTATTTTTTAAAAAATGATTCCTGAAAAGTGTTTCCCCCCAACTTTTTATTACAATATCTAGAGAAGTTTTCAATTATTCGGAAACAAATTTCGTTTTCTTTAAGTCTCTACTTGCGAGCACCCTCTGTGCACTCTGTGACCCACCCAGGTGGTGTGTCGCCTGGCTGCGCGCCGACCCAACTCTCACCAGACCCGGGAGGGCACCTCCTCCTGCTCAGCTCACGGTCCTGCGGGTCCTAGCCGTGCTGCTGCTCCCGCTGCGAGCTTTCCCATAGCGTCACAGGCGCAGGCGGGGCGGAAGGTCTTCCCTTTCTGTCCAGGTGCGACCATTCCCGGGTGGTGCGCCACCCCGTCCTCCCTCTCCAACCCCCCCGGCCACCCGCGGTCACCTGATCCAACTCACTTGCTCTCCCTGTCGCTCTCCCGGCGGCGGCGCCCTGCTAGCTTCCGCTCCCGCTCTACTTCCGCTTTTACTCTCCCCTGCTGTGTCGCACTGCTTGAGAGTAAGACCCGATTCAAAAGCGGCGTCGCGCGGGCCGGCGGGAAGGGAAAAAAGGGGGGGGGGGTGCTGAGGCCGACTGGGGGGAAAAGGGGGGGGGAGTAATTAAAGACGCGGGTAAAAGCGGATCCAGCCAAGAGGGAAGGAGGGCACCGCGAGAGCGAAAGAGACAGACAGACAGGCAGCCAGGGGCGGGAGGGGGGAAGGGGGTGCGTAGCGCGCCGTGCCGTGCCCAGCAGGCCCAGCAGCAGTCGCGGCAGCAGCGGCCCCAACAATGTCGCGCCACGCGGGGCGGGGCGGGGCCGGCGGGGCACGGGACAGGGGTGCACAAACTATATTTAGTCCCTTGCGCGTTGCGCACCAAGACTGGTCCTCGGCAGGGCAGGGCAGGGCAGACCCGGCCGGCGGCAATCACACCGCCACAGAGTGCGCGGGGCGGGGCGGGCGCTGCCCTCTGCCCTACCTCCACCTCGCGAGACAGAGCAGAGCTAGCCAGCCACCCTCTAAAGTGCACTACAACCGCATGTCGATCTCAGCAGCAATGCGGCTGCCGCGCCGGGACGCCGAATCAAAGAGGAAAAAAAGAAAAGTGTGTCTACATACTGGCCCATGCACAGCTAAAGTGCGCATCGCTGTTCATGACGCGTATAACACGTATAAAACACACCCAGAGTGCGCCTGCCGTTCCCTTCTTGGCGCTTGGCGGCCACACTAGACAATAGAGGGTACCAGTAGTAATTAAACAATTGATTATTATTAGTTGTTATTAATTATTATTATTGAAGATTAATTATTATTAATAATGTACCAGAACAGACGGCACCATTACCTGCGCCCCCCCCCCCCGCACCCAGAGAGAACCTGATCGCGAAAACACACACTGGTGCGATCGCACCCGCCCGCAGTATATGTGGTACACACAGTGCGCTGGCCACGTCGCGGAGAGGGAGGGGAGAAGAGAGCAGACATCACGACAATATAAACGCGACGCGCGCTAACACAGCTGGTCAGAAATAAAATCGAAAAAAAGGGTAAATCATCCACCCACATAAAAGAGATTCTCCCGAACGCACCGCTGAAAACAATGAGCACGGAGAGCGAGTCGTATGATGGACGGTCCGGGACGGTGGGGGTTCAGGCCAGGTCGAGTTGCTTTTAACACGGTGCTTATGACGTCACGCGCCCACTTGCGCGCATCTTTCTTTTTCATTTTTCGCCTTCCATTTTATTCCATTTTTTTTGCACGCCTGAGGATGTGTTGTTTTTGTGTTTTTTTTCTCTCATCCTGGCAGACAATAATAGCAGTGCAGCACAAGCAGAAGCAGCGGGAGCACGCGGACCGAGAAGGAGGAGGAGGAGGGGGAGGGAAGGAAGGGGACTTAGCGCGCCATCGCCAATCCCCACCGGGCCCGCGGGACAGAGTCGCATGCGCGGTCCGACCGGGCCGGGCCGGCCGGCGAGGCGGCGGCGGCGTTTCGGTTCCCACAAGACCGCCCTTGACTCGCGGCTGGTCGCGAGACGCTCCCGCCCCGCCCTGCCAACGCCGGCCAACGCGTCTAGGTAGGAGCCGAGGCAGACGGTTTGGCTGGCGTGGAGGTGGAGGGCCCTCAGCGCACCGGCCGGCCGGTCAGCCTGGCGTGAGCCTATGGCCCCGCGGGGGCCAACCGAGTCGGCCACTTACACACGACTTGGCTACTGACCGAGACACACATTCCGCAAGACAGGGGGGAAAAGAAGGAAAATCATGGGAAATAATAAAAGTAAAAAAAAATTATCCAAGGTGGTGATTAGAGAACACTTACGAAAGCTGAGGGTGAAATTACACCGTGCACTGCGACCCGGAGCGGATGAAAAACGCGCAGAGGATGGGAGGGAATATAGAGGAGGAGGTGCGGGAAAGAGGGGAAAAGAAGGGGGAGGGGGCGAAAATTAGAGGCAGCGCACGCGCCAGCAGAGGGAGACAAAAGAAGACAGGGCGAGTAAACGCGGTAGCAGTGTGAGCGGGTCGGGCCGGTGGCCAGCGCGCCGCACGCTCAAGAGTCGCGAGCCGCTACGCCGCGACGCGCGGCGCCAGCTGCTGCTGCCGAGTACGTAGCCGCGGGACCCGCTCGGCTGGCGGGGAAGGGCAGCAATAGCAGCAGTAGCAGCAGCAGGCTCGATGGGTATCGAGTAACCACGTCGACTCACATACACACAACCACAAGAGTGGAACGAACGGGGTGTCTTGTCATGCAGTGTGACGTCCCTCGTGTGTGCGTGTGTGTGTGTTGCGCAAGCCCCCCCCCCCGCCCCACCCTCGGGGTACACCTCGGCGGGGGGGCACATGGAGGCCCAACGGCGGTGAGGGTCCAGGCCGAAGGGGCAACACCGACGAGGCGGACCGGAGGATGTTTGTTCTTCATCAACTTCCAACTTCTTCTCTTTTCTCCTCCCTTCCCCCCGGCGAGCGTGCTGCCACCCCGCCCGCCCAGGAGGAGGAGGAGGAGGGGCGTTGTTCGCCGCCGTCGCCGCGCGCCGGGTCACTGGGACAGTTTATCTTTTCTTGAAAGAGAGTGCGGGCAAGGAAAATAAGAAAGAAAAAAAAAGTACAACGTGAGGAGGGAGGAAGAGAGTATAGCGCGGGGGCCCGCGGCCCAAGGCAGGAGGAGGGCCCAGGGGGAGTGTGGGGGGCGCGGCGGGCACACCGGCGAGGGGATCCACCACCACCGCGGGGCCTAACTGGCTCGGCCCGCCCGGCGCGGCCCAGCGTCACAACACCATTAGAAACTCATCTCAGCTCGGCGGGAAAATGGGACGGAACGGAACGGGCGGAAGGGACACGGCGAGACGTTGCAACGCGGTGACGCGCGCCCGGCTGGGGACACTCGGGCTGACAGGCAAGACTGAAACTTTATCTTAAAAAATATATTTTTTTAAAAAAACTGGATTATTTCTTTAAAATAAAATATGACACAAGAGGCCTATAGTCATCCCCAGGTAGACTTAACCACTGTGCGCGAGGACTGCCTGAAACAAAACAGGCGCGCGCGCGCGCGCAGCGTTCTCGTGGAAAACACGAACACACACCTGCTAGGCCAGAAGAGTCACACGTTGTCTCCCGTGTGCTTTCCATATCGGCCGAGGCGGCGCTCCCTGTAAGGCGATGAGCGCGCCGCCTCGGGCCGCAGCAGCAGCAGCGCGAGGAGCTCGGCGAGGAGCTCGTTGGGGAAGGCGGAGCGACCCACTCCCGCGCCGTCAGGATGGGACGCGACACATTCTGCCGCCCAGCCCAGCCCAGCCCGCGGGCAAGCCGCCGCCGCCGGGGCTATGGGGGGCAATTTTGGTCGATTATTATTCTCCGTTAAGGCGAAGGCTGCGAAAGCAGCGAGGGGATTCTACGGGCGTCACTATCCCAGAGCCGCCTACAGCCAGGTGTGTTTGGTAGAGAGGAGGACAACTTGGCCGACACACTGCGGTTTTGTCTGTTGTTTTTTGTTTGTTATTTGTGGTATTTTCTTTACAAACATAAGGATTTCTTCAGGAAAGTGTTTTTTTTTTGTTTTTTCTTTCTTTTTTACCCTTGATTTTAGAAGAACATTTACATCAGTAGGTTATATCTGATGTGTTCTGTAGTAAAGTGTTTGATGTATCATCTGCTGATAATGTCCAACAACAACAACAACAACAACAACAACAACAAACAGCAGACCGCGAATCAAACATGTGTCGACTCTTCTATTTTGTGTCGAGTAGATTATCGGGCTGCGCTGCAGTGAGGCAATTACCAGCTGAAACTGGACCGGCGCGGCGCGCGGCGCTCGCGGCTCTGGAGGGCGGGATCCTGTTCCAGTCTGTCCAGCGCAGGCAGGCCGGGCAGCAAGCAAAGCCTGTGTGCGAGAGAGTGAGCGCGTCGACCGCCGCCTGCCTGCCTGCCTGCCTGCCGGCGTTCACCTCCCATACTCGGCAGTGGCGGGCCGGTGTCGTCTGTGTCTGAGCCCCACTTGGTCGTCTAGAGCGCGCGCGCGCACACACACAGGCACATTTCTATCGTAATGCCTTCCAGGACATGGCGAGAGAGAGAGGAAGAGAACGAGAGAGCGAGACAGAAAGAGGTCTCCCTCGCACCTAGAGCATCGGCACGAGATATGTGGGGCAGGGCAGGACACACACACAGGAGTCGAAGCTAGCTAGAGCATAGCGCCATGGCGGCGGCAAGGAGCGAGAACGAGCCGCAAGTGAGCGACTGGGCAGTGCAAG